AGTGAAGTCACTTGGCTGATAAAAGACGGCGCTGACATTCAAATTGGGTCACTGGCACTGTGTGGGGCCCACAGGGTGTCTGCATGGCCCCCTCGAAACTGTAGGAACAGGAGCCTTCACCTGGACCAGTGATTCCTAGGCTCCAGTGGGTGGCGCTGTGGGAGGCAGGTGTGGAGAAGGGGGGGTTGAGAGCACAGCGGGGAGCAGCGCAAGGACAGGGGCTCAGCTGTCACCCAGTCCTTCATGGAACCTACCCTCAGCATCTGGGAGCTGTGTGGCCCTGCTTCCTAACATGCCAAATATAGTAACAGGTAGAGCTCATGCAGTGTTGGGGCCAGAGAAAATAATGCCCACCCAGCATCCTGCACTTGGTGGGCACCCAATGGATGATAGCCCCGTGTGACTGATTATTAGCATCGTGTTTGGGCTCAAAGGCGATAGTATTGGGGCACCTAGGTGGATCAGCTGGATGAGCGTCTGACTCGATTTCGGTTCAGGTAGTGATCTCATGGGTCACTGGATTGAGCCCCGAGTAGGGCTAGGGCTCCGGGCTTAGCAGGGAGTATGCCCGAAATTTTCACTCTCCCTCTGTCCTCCCCCAACTCGTGCACTCTCTAATAAACAAACAAACAAACAAGTCCTTTTTTAAAAAGGCGATACTGTTGAACTCTGGGGCTCAGCCAACTTCAGCATCCCCTTACCACAAGGGCTGAAAGGCAGGTAGGTGGTAGACCATAGTCATTTTACGTTTTCTTTTTTTTTAAGTAGGCTCCACGCCCAACGTGGGGCTTGAACTCATGACCCTGAGTTGCATGCTCTGAAGACTGAGCCAACCAGGCGCCCCTGGACCACAGTCATTTTAAACCAGATGCTGCTCTTTTAGCTCTGGGCAGCCTGTGTTTCCAAAAAAAGACCTCCAGTTTTAACTTCATTTCTCCTCCCCCTCTCCAGCTCCTTGAGATGGAGTCAAGAGGGAAACCCAGGTGCAGGGCATGGACATGTCCCCCCAGAGTGGTCCACAAGTCGGACCAGAGCTCGCACCAGAACACACGGTTCCTCCTTCCTAATCTGCGCAAAGTCACCCCACCCTGGGCACCGCTCTCCTTGAAGACAAGCCAGTAGGTGCAGCTGGCTGGCACCAGGTGCCACCAGCTAAATAAAACCCAGAGATCGTCACCCCACCTTCTCATCTCTCCTGCCTGGAGAGGTGGGAAGGAGAAGCAGGCCACCTGGCCTAGGGATGCCCCAGTAGTCTAGGCTGTCCCCAAATCTGCCCCTCCCACACCACCCCCAGGAAGACCTCCCCGTGCAGAACCCCTTCTTGCTGCCCCACCCAGAGGAATCCCAGCGCACCCCCCACATACACACACAATTGCAACTGGAGGGCCTGGGAAAGGGCTAGCTCCCTTGGAAGGAACCTGGAGGCTGTGTGCGGGCGAAGCAGGTGTAAGCGCTGCCTGATAGTACTCGGCTTCCATAGCCCCCTCCTCGTGCTGAGGCTGAGTGCTCAGACCCAATCCCGTCCCCGCCCCTGTGTCCGCTTCCAGGTCGTGAGAACAGGAAAAACGGGGCGAGGGCTTTGGAAGGGGACGGAGTTAGACCTAAGGAGGAATTGGAGGATGGGGGCGGCGGGCGGTGACCTCTCAAGGTCCCGGGCGTTTGCCGTCGGCCCCTCCCCCTCCCGTAGGTGGGCGCGCCCAGCCCGGTGACGTCACCCCAACCTGAGGCTGGCGGGGGAGGGGCCGGCGGGGACGAGGATGGGGTTGAGGGGCGAGGGGCGAGGGGCAGCGGGGAGGGACGAGGGATGCAAGGCGAGGCGGGACCCGGGACCGGGGCGGGGGCCGGGACCGGGGCCACTCACCCAGGACGCGACCCGCAGTAGGGTCTGCGGCCGCCGCGCGAAGCTCACGGGGTCCAGGGCGGCCCCCGCGCGGCCCGCGCCAAACGATGCTCCCTCCATGGCCAGCCCAGGAGGGACGCGCGCCCCCGGCGCCCTCTGTCTGTCTGTCCGTCCGGCCGGCCCCGCCCGAGGCCGCCCGGGTGTGCTGCCGAAGGTGCTGGTGCTGGTGCTGGTGCTGCCGCTGCGGCCGCCGCCTCCCGGGAGCGCGCGCCGGCCGCGGCGGGGGCGCGCGGGGCGGGGCCGAGCCCGTGCCCCCCGCCAACTGGTCCGCTTGCGGGGCTGGAGCCCGCCCCTCCCTCCGGCGCCCCGCCCACACACCCCCCTTCACCTGCTAGACCCCGGTCTGAGATGCGAGACCACCCCCCAGGCTCCAAGAGGGGCAGGGTCTGGGGGGCCGGGGACTGAGTCCACCACCGCCCCTCACAGGTGAAGTCAGGAGTCAGCAGGGAAGGTGGACGCTAGGCTCAGCCTTTGTGGCAGCCAGGCGAAGAGACAGACAAACCTGATTCTGCCCCTCTGAGCTGGGCCCTTTCGTGAGCAAAGGGGTAACAGAGGTCCAAGGGCTCCAGGTCTTCCCAATGGCTGCAGCTCCCCGTTCCAGCCCTCAGGAAAGGGGAGCCCAACTCCCTGAACCTGGTTCCCCCTTGGACCAGAGATCAGTTACTGGGTCCTTTCCTATGAACCCCCCAATTGCATCCTAGCTTCTCCTTCAGAGGGTTCTAGCCTCCCTGACAGGGAGGGAGAAGGCCTCTGCCCCCCAGGGGCACTTGTCCAGGAGGGCAGAGCCCACAGACCGGCATGGGTGGGAGTTGGGACATCTCTCCTCCTTTCTTGTGGGTGGATGTTGTCATTCCAAGGGTCCTCAGTGAGCCCTTCACACTCCTGGGTCTCCCCAACTGACTTGTGGCTGGCATGTTTAGTCGGGGGCCGAGGGGTGGGAAGAAGCGTGAGAGATGGGGAATTTGGATAAGCTGGGGGCCCCTGCTGGGTCTCTTCCATAGATCCCCCAGCCTAAGTTCGACAGGGTCCCTCCCCCGTGTTCCCGGCCAGCCTGGCAGGGTCCCGGACGACTGCTATGTTTCTGCCTAGGCATTGAAAGAAACGTTTGCATCTGTTGAGCATTTACAGTGCCAAGCCGCCTCACAAGGCCCCGTGGGGGGTAGGGACTGTCTTCATACCACACACAGACAGCTGGTTGACTTCTTCCACCACATCAGGAAGTCAAGAGCTGGGACTCAAAGGGTCCCTGCTGTGCTGTCCGTGTGGATGGAAGAGGACGTCTGGTCCACCCCCTGTGGAACCCACCCCAAGGCAGGCGTAGCCAGATGTGCCACCCACGAGTCTTCCTGCAAGCCCCCGACACTGGGTATCCAGTCTGTCCTGAGCAGTAGCCACTTCCTCTTTGGTTGCCCCCTTTAGTGCCAGGGTGATCCAGACATCCCCACCCTCCTGGAAATGCTTGCGGATGTCACCCTCTCCTCACGTCCCTGTTTCACCAGCCCCTCTCATCGCCCTTTCGGGGTTCTCTCTTCTTGTCCACCCTGTGAGCTCCTGTAACTTCTGAACTTTGGGAGCCCTAGGGTATGATCCTGGGGCTTTTCTCCTCCCTCTCTGCCCAGTCCCTTGGTCTGTGAGCTGACAGCTTGAGCCAGAACCTCCCCTCAAACTACAGTCCCACTTGTCTTAGCCTGGATTGGGGGATGAAATCTCCAGGAAGCCAGAGTTAGGGGAAGAGGGAAGGGAGGTAGGACAGGAGAGCACATCCAGGCACTCTGTTCCTGAGCCAGGCACGGCTTCCCTGGAGAAGTTGGCTGGTTCTCCAACTGGTGGCTGACTTGGGAGAGGCCAGAAGAAAACCACGTGTTGGGAACAATTCCTCGACGGGAGGAACGAGGAGCAATTTCTCTATTGGCTGCTCCCTGCCTCCCATTTCTTTGCATCGCTGTCTTCTCTGGGGGAAGGCCCTGCCGAAGCCAGAGCCCCTGTGGCACCTGCTGGGTGAAGGTGCTGAGGAAGCTGAGCCGAAGGGAGAGGCTAAGCTTAATGCTACCGGGAGAGAGACGACCAGTGCATGACGACCGCAGGGAGGGCATACTGTTGCTGGTCCGTTCCAGCTGGGAGCCGAGCCTGGGAGCAGGTGCGGCTGAGCAGACCTGGCAAGGCCCAAAAGCTACATGCAGGTCACCCTTACGCCTGCCCCACCTACAGCGTTCTCCAGAGCACAGATCCCGAGAGCATCTTCATCCTCCCAGTGCTAGGGCCCAAATCCCCCAAGTCAACTCTGGCTCCTTTCTCTCCGCCTGTCGATCTGCTCTGACCCGCCCAGGTGCCACAGGGGTGCCTGCCGTCCCTGCTCCCACCCATACCTGCCTCATCCTAGCTCAACAGCCAGAGAAACCTTTCGGAAGTCATCGTGCCATTCCTCGGCTCCAAATCCTCCAAGACCGTCCTGTCGCGGGAGGAGAGTATCAAAACAATGTCCTTGCTGGGGACATGAGGACTTGGTGCCATCCGACCTCCCACTGATCTCTGACCCTCCCTCAGCTCCAGCACTCGGCTTCCCAGGCTGCCCCTCCTACGGAGCAGAACCTGGATGGAAGGAAGCAAGGGCAGGCCCTGCCCGTCACCGCCAAGTCCCAGCACAAAACACACCAAAGCCAGCCCCTCAGTCACTTCTGTACCATTTTATTTTGGTCTCCAGCTCTGAGAGGGCTGGCCTCACAAAGCCTCTTGACAGGCCTGGTACAGGTACGTGCAGTCAGAGGCAGGCAGCAGCACCGGTGGGCCCTCCGGGAAAGACTGCCTGTGCTTTCCTCGTAGGCTCTGAGCCGGGACAGTGGCCTAGCCCTCCCTCAAGGAGCAGGACAGGCGGCCCAGGCGGGCCTGTCACCTTCTTGTGCAGGGAAGTGGGCACCAGGGTGCCGGGTGAGCAGCCGGCTGCCCAGCCTGGGCTGCTCCTGTCTCCTTCACCGGCAGCCCACGGGGAGGAGCACGGGCCACTGGGGTGTCTGCAGCGGGCACCCCTGCTTTTCCTCCAAACCTAAGAGGGAGAGGGCCCCCGAGCAGTGTCTGGGGACCATCCAACTGACACAAGAGAGGCTCTGGCTCTGACACACTTTAATGAGTGCCCCGTCCCCCTCTGGCCAGGCTGCCCGGAGACCCCGGGCTTCCGTCCCACAGCTCTGCCGGCCACCATCTAGTCACAGGAGCCATCCTTCCAGCCATCGCGCCAGCGCTCGTCCACTTGCGAGCAGTCGAAGTCCGGCTTGCCCAGCTTGCGGTTCACTTCATTGTGCAGGCGGCACAGCCACTGGCTGAAGCATGCCCGAGTGCGTGTGTCTGGCTGGTTCCTGTGTATCCTGTGGGGGAAGCAGGTGGAAGGTGCGGACAGGCCGCGGTTCCCACCGCCCCTGCCCCACTGGCTCCTTGCCAGCTCCATCCAGGCAGGAGAGCTGGGGCGGCTGTCGGCTACAGCCAGGAGGGCCCTTGTGCTCTGAGAGACAGGCATTCCCAGAACAGGGCTGCTCCTGCACTGTCCAACAGTGGCACACTCCTAGGCCTGCTCAACCCCTCACCTGGGGAGCTCGGCAAACCCGGACGAGAACTCAAAGCAAAACATTAAGGCACCAATCATGCAACTTTACAACCTCATAACAATCAGGAAGCCTCACCCCAGCATCCCTGGCCCCAGGGAGTGTGTGAAGGGGTGGGGCAGCACAAAGACATAACTGAAAACCAGACCTGTTTCTAGCACCTGGGGCCCTGGGGCCTCGGACTAGCAAGAGAGCTGTTCTAACTGCCCAGGATTCAAATGGCAAGGGCTGCCCTGGCCCCCACATTCAGCGCAGAAACACCTATAGGTGCCAAACAACAACTCTTCGGCTCCCCAGGGAGGAAAAGGTGGCTCCCGGAAGCAAAAGCAGTGGGTTCTCAAGGCCTTAAAATCAGCAGTCCTGCTCCAGAAGTCAGGCAAAGTGGACTCATTAACCTGCCCGAGCCTCCAGGAATACCAAGCAAGGGACTCTGTAAGTGAAGCCAGGCCTAGAGCCTCTGGTTGCAGGAGCAGCAGCCCCAGGCATCTTGGCCCTTGAGGGGAAAGGAGACCGCTTAGTTGATCCAATGCCCACTGTTGGTGGTCTCTGCTCTGGGCGACCCTCTGCCACCTCTGCACCTGCTTCTCCAGGCTCCCCTTTATGACATCAGCCAGGGGGGCCCCAGGCCCGGGCTCCAGGAGGGATTGCTCTGCTGCCTACAGACAATGCAGACACACTTACCTCTTCCTTATATCTTCGGCACACTCCTCACACGGATAAAACTTGGAAAATAAATGTATGAACTGGGCCATGTCTTGCTGCTGTTCAGGGGTAGGCAGATCGGGGTAGTAGGCGGCCAGGGTGTGGAGGACAGCCCAGCTGTGGCGGCCCAGTTCTTCGCGGTCCTGAGGACAATCTTCCCTAAACTTGCTGTCCCGCTGCGGAAGGAGGCCGACCAAGGGTCAGTTTCGCCTCCCCGGACCGGAAGCCCACAGAGCTCCCTTTTCCCCCCCGCCACAGTCAGAGGCCCACTGACTCGAGACGGAAGCCCTGCGGCCGCCGATCCGACACACAAATGGCTGAAACCCTAAAGGCCGGGCCTCCCTTGGGGAAAAGGTGTAGGAACAGCCCACCCTGGTTGGGGAGGGGGCACAAGTCTGTGAGGCATAGGGCCCGTGGGACCGCTCGGCTTGGGCCTCCGGAGGTCGGCGCAGATGCCTGAGAACAAGGCGTGGGGGCCGGGACCAGGGAAAGTGGCGGCCCTGGGCATCTGCACCTTCTGCTGCGTCCGCATCCACGTCTTGAAGTCCACGCAGGCCCGGCAGGGCCGCCTCCGGGAGGGGTCCTCGGCGACCTGAGGATCGGGGTTCGGTGCCGGGGCTGGCGTCGGGGCGGAGGCGGCGGCATTTCTTCGTCCCACGCCCCGGCCGCGCGCGTCCGTCACTAGGTCATCCATCACCTCTGAGCGCGCGCCACCGGGCAGGAAGGAGAAGAGGTTCCCGCTGCAGAAGCGGCCCCGCTCGCCGGGCGCCGCCATGTTGCCCGCGCAATGCCTGCCGGGCCAACTCGGCCTCCAGCTGGGCCTCCAAGTCGGTCTCCAGGCCAGCGCGCGCGCCAGCGCTAGGGCGCGGCCACAGGAGCCGGTCGCGCGTGCCGCGGGCGCGGGCGCGGGCGCGGGCACGAGCGCGGAGGCCGTGCTAGAGCTGGGGCCGGGGCCCGGGGCGGGGAGGGGCGGAGGGGTGGGGCTCTGGCCCGCGGCGCATGCCCAAGAGGCCACAGAGCCGGTGGCCGGGGTCTGGGCCGGGGCGGGCGCGGGGTTGGAAGCCCGGGTCCTGGCCGCGCCCCTGGGCCTCGATCCGCTTCCCGAGCCTGACTCGCGTCGCCCGTGGCGGCGCTCCCGCTTCCTCCAGTAGAAGAGCAGCGTGTTGTGGAAACCACGCCGCCGCCGCGCCGTGAACTCAGGTTGCGGCCGAGGCGAAGTCCGTGTTCCGGCCCGTGACGCCCCCATCGCTCCGCTCTGACCGCCCCGCGTGCCCGCGGCCAGGCTCTGTGCCCTCAGCTGGGGCGCGCCCAGCGGCCGGCCGCGCGGCGTCCTGGCAACGCGGGGTGGCGCGGTGAGCGCACAGAGTGGGGCGCGCGCTAGGGCCTGGGTCCCGCGGGTCAGCCCGGGTGACCGGCGCCATGGCAACGGGCGCTGGCGGGTCTCTGGGCTCCTGAGGGCAAGGAGTAGCCTGGATCCCTATAGCCTGCCTGAAGGGGTTATAGCCACGTCGGGAGTGGCCGCAGCTTCTATACGTACATTTATTCATCCTGAAAATACTTGTGTAGTGTCTAATCTGTTCCAAGTACTGGTCCAGGCGCTGGGCAGGGCGGGGCACAAGATCCGTCCCTGACCTCCTCTCTGGGCTCATTGTCCATTGGTCAAGACGGAAAAAGCAAAAACAAAAAAAAAAGGAGTCACACTAACAAATACTCCCTGACGGGGCACCTGGGTGGCTCAGTCGTTAAGCGTCTGCCTTTGGCTCAGGTCATGATCCCGGGGTCCTGGGATCGAGCCCCCGCATCGAGCCCCCGCATCGGGCTCCCTGCTCAGCGGGAAGCCTGCTTCTCCCTCTCCCACTCCCCCTGCTTGTGTTCCCTTTCTCGCTGTCTGTCAAATAAATAAAAATCTTTAAAAACAAAACAAATATTCCCTGAGAAACAGGTGGGAACCATGAACAGGGGTGTGGTAAATCCGGGAGGCTTCCTTGAGGAGGTGACACTTAGGCAGAGGCCTGAAGGATGAGGAATCAGCTGAGGAGGGCAGTCAAGGCCAAGGCTGGAGGTGGGCATGGGCAGAAAGGCCAGTGGAACAGGACTTGGGGAAGGTGGTGAGAGGAGAGATCCAAAGGTGGACAGGAGCACACGGAGGACCCCGTCAGCTGCCGTGGGAGCTGGGAATTTAAGGACCATAGGAAGGTGCTGGACAATTTGGGGTAGGGCCACCCCAACCTGATCCCCTTTGTGTTTTGCAAGGTTCCTCTGGAGGGTGGATTTCATAGGAGCTAGTGAGGAGCATGGGCACGGGGTGGGGCAGTTGTCCAAGGGATAGATGAGCCTGTGGTCTATAGAGAGAGAGAACAAAAAGGAACCAGGGTTGCTGGGGATGTGAAGCAGGGGCTGTCAGGTGGGGCAGGTAAGGGGCCTCAGCACCCTTCTAGGAGGTCCCTGGCTGTGAATAAACAGGCCTTCTCCCAGCTTTTCTCCTGGTCTCCCATGGGAGAAGTGTCTGCCCCACCCTGGACCCTGCCAGGCTAGCTGGGACCTCAGCATGGCCCCCACTGAGGTCGGAGAGGGCGTGACAGCTGGGCTGAATGCACGCTGCAATTCAGGCCTATGTCAGCAGGTGTTCGTTGCCTGGGCCAAGATCAGAGAAGGTTTGAGAGCCACTGATTAGACAGATGCACAAAGGCCCTTTGTCAAGGCTAGGGTGATTTCCGAGAGGGATGTCCTAGAGGCTAACCCCTCCCTGGACAGCTTGGGGTAGGAGTCCCAACCTAGAGCTGGTGGCCCCAACAGCAGGAAGAGCCAAAATATACCAGGGTTGGATGGAGCTCTGGAAGTCTTTCCTATAAGGAAGCAGCCCAGAGATGTGGGGCACCTGAGCACACACTGGGGATTCTAGGGTCCAACCCCTGTTCACCCGTTAGTGGGGGAATTGTGACTTCTGATCTCAGAGGCTGTGTTAGCAGTAAATTGTGATAAATCATAAATTTAGAGGCAGCTCTCAAAACAGTCCTAGTCACCAACCCCCCCTCCCCAAGTGCCAGTGACTGCAGAGAGGGACCCTCTTTGTCCTGCCCCAAGTCTCCCCACCACAGGGGAACCTCTGGGGTGAGCCTGTGAGGTCCACCCCCACATCCAGAAAAACTGACATTAATTATCTATTTAATACAAATTTCCTTCTCTGTGATTTGGAAACATTAAGAGACCTTTCCTCCAATGTGAGCCAAACAAAGTACATAAAGCTTTTAGCCCTAGGTCCTTGGTTCCTGATGACAACAGCAGTCAGCTTCCCAGGTGAGTTCAAGACAGAGCCGTGGGGGCACGCCCTGGAGGAGGCTCCGCTAGTCCCAGCACCACACCGGGTGTGGGAGAGCCAGGAGAGCCGGGCCAAGCCTGGCGGCACTTTGAGGATTCTTCCTTTTCCTCCTCCTCCCACGGGCCAGACTCAGTCCCCAACCTCCACTGCCTCTCTGCCCCTCCCCACCCCCAAGCCCTGTGTTCCTGTCCCTCTACCCAGATCTACTTTGGGCACAGTGAAGAACCTGGGAAAGAACCAGGGGCAAGGCAGCGATACAAGAACCTGGCAGGTCCGGGGCGTAGCCGGGGAATTCCAATCAGTCTTCCGGGTGCCCGGGAGCCCCCCTCCTTCTCTCCCCCGCCCCCCCACCGTGTGAGCCAGGACACAGTGGGACCCTTGGCCACAGTTTACCCACTCCAGAAGCCCAGGACCGGGACCCGTGAGCACAGCGATGGCCGACCCCCGGCACCCGGTGTCAGTGTGCGCAGCAGCCCTAGTGCAGACAGCGCGGCTTCAGGTATGACGGGCGGAGTCCCTGCCAGCCCCAAGGAAGAAGGAAGGAATTCCTGGCCCAGCACCTCCAAGGCGCCTCAACCTTTCTCCCAACAGACATTTGCCTTCTCTGTGCACTGGTCGGATGACAGCAACACTTTCGTGCGCAGGAGCTGGGATGAATTCAAGACGCTCCAGGTGAGTGAGCCTGGGGTGAACCCGAGTGCCCCCGCTGCCGGAAGGACCAATGGCCTGGGCGTTTGCCCTTGAGCCCGCGAGGGCGTCCAAGCCCCTACGACCCCCATCCCGGCAAGGAACCCTCACCCTCCCAAGGGAACCGGTGGACTCTGAGACTGATTCGCTGGTTCTCCCTTAGAAGACCCTCAAGGAAACCTTCCCGGTAGAGGCGGGCCTGCTGCGGAGATCGGACCGCGTCCTCCCCAAGCTTCCCGGTGAGGCCGGTAGGGAGGCCCGCAGGGATCCCTGGAGGGGCAGGGGCACCAGCGGCCTGGTGGAGGGAACCCTGGGGCGGGGTCCCACAGCCAGTTCCCGTCGTGCCCGCAGACGCATCGCTGTTGGTACGCGGGGGGCGCACAGGCCGCGGCCTAGCGCGCCTGCGGCTGCTGGAGACCTATTCGCGGGCGCTGCTGGCTGCGGCGGCGCGCGTGTCTCGGAGCTCAGCGCTCACCGGCTTCTTTGCACCACAACCCCTGGACCTGGAGCCCGCGCTGCCACCCGGCAGGTGCCTGCCTCATCCCCAACTCCCTGCCCGCAAGAGCCCTTGGAGGCTGGGGGAGGAGCGAAGGCTGGGCAGACTGGGGAGGGGTGGCAGGCCCTCACCACACCTCCCACCCGCCCCTCGCCTGCGCGCTACCCTTCCCAGTCTGGTGATCCTGCCCGCTCCTGAAGAGCCTCTACCCCGCCCGGCGGACAGCCTTGCCATCCGTGGCCTGGAGGCTCAGAGCCTGCGCTGCCTGCAGCCCTTCAGCACCCGGGACACGCAGGGCCGACCTTTCCATGCACAGGCCCAGGAGATCCTAGATGTGCTGCTGCGACATCCCTCAGGTGGGGTTGGGCAGGACTGAGAGAGCTCGCCCATCTGCCCCCAGGACCTGAGAGGGCTTGGGGGTCTGAACCTCCGCCCACCTCTTGTGCACAGGCTGGTGGCTGGTGGCAAACGAAGACCAGCAGACAGCGTGGTTTCCTGCTCCCTACCTGGAGGAAGCGGCCCCAGGCCAAGAACGACGACCCCTAGGGAGTAGTGGTAATTACCCATCCCACCCCTCCCAAGCCAGCCACCGCCACTGGGCAGTGTGTGGCAAAGCTGGGCCACAGTAAACAGCTGAGCGATTGCTGGACATGGGGACAGAGTGTACTTGGTCCCATCATCTGGGGGATGCCTGAAGGTGGTGACTCCATGGGGGGAGGAGAAAGAGGTGGGAGTCCTGGTCCCTGAGGCCTCACAGTGACCCCCAAATGCCCACTCCCAGGGTCTCAATTCTGCGCTTCCCAAGCCTATGAGAGCAGCCATGCAGATGAACTGTCAGTGCCTGCGGGGGCGCGCGTGCGCGTGCTGGAAACTTCAGATCGTGGCTGGTGGCTCTGCAGGTGCGCAGGGGTGGAACTTGGGCGGGGCCCAGGATGGGGGGCAGGATCCAGCAACAGCCAAACCCCACCCTCCTTCCCGCCCCCCTCGCAGGTTCAGAGGGCGCTGCGGTCTCCTCCCCGCTGTGCTGCTGCGACCCGACGGGCTGGGCGCGCTCCTGAGTGGCGCAGGGCTCCACCGCGAGGAGGACTGTGAGGAGGACAGAGTGGGAGAGGCCCAAGGCTCCCCCGAGAACCCCCAGGCCACAACCCTTCCCCCTACCGTGCCCACCCGCCCTCTGTTGAGCGCCATCCAGAGCCGCTGCTGCACCATCACCCGCAGGGCACTGGCACCCAAGGACCCCCTCGAGGGTGTGTGGAGCTGCACAGAGGGCAGGCCCAAGGCTCCAGACCCCAGGGACGACTGACACCAGACAAGTCGCCACCGTCACCACCACTGCTGCGGGAGGAGTATTTGAGGGAGGGA